TCTTTGATGCGCTGTCCCTGACTTCTCGTGGAGCCTTGCCGTCTTCGTAGCTGCCCGCCCTGCAGACGGCACTCCTTCCATTGCCAGCCTCCTGCAACATTCTTCTAGCCGCGGCAGTTGTTGTTCACCCCGTCGCCTTCCCTTCAACTTTGCCTGGCCGTCCAGCGCCGTTGCCAGCCTGCTCCACCAGTTTGCCTTCCTGTTGCTACAGTGCACTCTCCTCTGGCCTGACTCTCTGACCTCCTTCCCCTGGAACTGGTGCGCATCGCCTCTTCCCTTGAACCGCTGCTGGTCTTCTGCCTGGATGCCATAGGCCTCGCAGTAGAAGTATTCCATCGTGGATGCGAGGTGGTGGTACTGGTCTCTCTGCCTGTTCGCCTCGTCTGCTGTGGCCTTGTACGCCGCCGATTCGCTGGTGTATTTCGGCGCCTCCAGCTGCTTCCTCGGGTGCCTCTTCTCGTAGTGCTCGTCCCAGGTGTCGTTCATGGTGAGCGTGTGCACCATGTCATTCGTGGCTGGCGTGCTCGGCGCCCCCCCCCCTCTAGCTCACTGTCGTTGGCCTCGGCGTTGTTCCAGGGGTCGTGACCTCGCGCCTGACCACCCGCCTCGGTCGCAGAGGCATGGCTGCCTCCTTCGCTCGGGGCGGCTGGAGGGCACCTCGCGGTTTTGGGCCATTGCTGGCTTACCACTGCGCGGTCCCCTGATATCTCGGGGTTCACAGGTGTGAGTTCAGGTGGGAGGTCTTCTTCGGCTGGGGCAATCCAATCCTCGAGCTCCTCCTCTATGATGCCAGCCTCAGGGTTGTCCATGTCATGGTATCGTTCTGCCATTCCGTCTTGTGCTGCCTCTGTCTTTGCCACGGGCCTACTTATCTCACTTCCCCTTGACGAGCATTCTCCGTTCCCTTCCCACGTCTGGCTGCTTGTGCTTGTTCTCGGCGAGCTCCCCGTTCTTGTAGCAGCTAGTCTGGAAGATCGCCGTCGGGGAGTAGTGGGTAGGACGTCCATCCAATAGGTGTCAGTGCCTCCCATCTGGCGCTTGCTGATGCTTTTCCCCGTCGCTCTTGTCGTTCCTGGACTTGTGCTGGCTTTAGTACCTGTTCATGGCGGCCTTCTTGCTCTTGTTCTTTCAGCCACTTCCCTCTTTATGCTGTGCTGTCTGGGTTGGGCCTCTTCCTCCTGTCGAGCTTTGGGTGGGAACGTGGGCGCGGCATCTTCAGCGCCCTGGTGAGGTTGTGCTCCAGCTCCGCCTTGATCGTCAGCTTCTGGCCGATGTGTGGCTTCCAACTGACGTCCGTTACTGCCTTCAGGCTGATGATGTGTTTGCACGCCTCTGGGCGTGCCAGCGCGTGGTCCATGAGCGACGGCTCCTCCGCTTTGTAGCGCGTGGGCGTCTCGCCAGGCAGCGTGTAGATGCGCGCGTCGCCCAAGAGGTCGCAGAAGCCCTCCCGTGCAAATCTCGTCGGGTTGACATCGAAATCCCCCGCGATAATTCCGGGCTTGCACTGCGCTTTCGTAAACTTTGCTACTTCAGCCAGCCTTCTGGCGTTAGCTCCTTCTCTAAGCGGCTGGTCGCACCGCGGATATAGCCGCCGCGTCATTCGCCTTCCAATCTTCCGTTTGTAATAAACCAAACGCTTCACTTTCTTGGTCTTGACGCTGTGCGCGGCTGCCAGCAGTGGCCCCCGATGCACTGCCATGCGCCGCATGCTCTCGAACAAATGTGGATTTGAAGTGTGGCCTTGTAGCTATCATCGCACCCCCTTTCGAGCCTCTCTCTGACTTGGCCGAAGGCTGTGATGCTGCGAAGCACGCCTTTAGACCCCACTTGTGTAGGATCGCTTCCTTCTCCTCCAGCAGGTGTAGCCGAAGGTGTGTCTCCTGCATCAGGTGTGCATCCGAAGGTGCTCTTCCTTCAGCCACGACTCCGCAGCAGGCCCCCACGTGGTGATGCTGCGCCGACGAAGATACTCTTGGCGCCCCCGTCGGTCTTTGGGCTGCGGGCGCCGGGGCGTGCGTGTCAATGCTGGGTGCCAGCGGCCTGCCCGCCTGCTGCGGGCGTCGCCCCGGCCTTGGCAAGCTCCTCCTCCTCCATCATTTGGTCGGGGTTGCCGTCGTCTTCCTGTCCTGGATCAGCTGCTGCGGCTGCTTGTCCTGCTGGTGCTGCCGCCGAAGGCGCCGCCGCCGATGAGCTCTTAGCTTCGTCCTCGTCCGAGAAGATGACCTTCCTCTTCTTGGCCTCCTGCTTTATCGTCTCCTTGTTCTTGGCTGTGGCCTCCTCGGCGTTGCGGAGGTGCTCCTGCAACTGGCTCGCGTACGACTTCGCACCTTCCTGCAGGTCTTTCAGCGCCTGCTTCTTCGCCTCGATGACAGCCTTCCTGGCCATCTCGTCCTTCGTCCTCGAGCTCCATCTCCTTGTCTAAGTCGATGATGCCCTCCAGCGCCATCTCCTCTGGCGTCTGGGAGAGCAGCTGCTGCGTGAAGCTCTGGTGCTGCGGCTCTCTGCCCTCCGAGTGGATCGCCTCCAGGTTCGCCTCCTGCTTGGCTACCTCCGCCGCCTTATCGCTCATCTTCTCCTCGAGCTCCCGCAGCCATGCTCGCTGCTTCTTTGCGTCCGCTGCCGCCGCTGTGAAGTGCTTGTAAGCAATCCTCAGCGCTTCGGCGGCCTCCGCGAGCCTCTTTGGCCTTGACTTCACCTTCGGCGGATCCATCTGCGCCTCGATCTGCTTCGCGAAGCCTTTCAGCTGGGAGCCAAGCATCTCGCTGTTGGCCAGCTTCATGCCTCCCATCTTCTCCGAGATGAGCACCGGCGCCTGCGAGAGCTCCTTGGTCTCCGCCTTTTGGCCTCTTCGCTTGCGCCTGCCTCCGTGGTCACTGTAGCCGCTGGCGGACGAGCTCTCGGACTGCTTGGTGCTCAGGGCTTCTTGAAGGTGGCCTTGCAGTACCTGCGCTGCAGGCCTACTCTCCAAAGTTGGTCGATGATCCAGCCCTTGCACTTCCACGTCGTGCAGCACGTGAAATCCTCGTGCTCGGGCTTGCTCTGCTCGCTGCTCCAAGCGTCCCAGGACTTCGGCGCCTTGCCGTGGTGCGACTCCAGCAACTCGCCAGCCCTCGCCATCGAGAGGAGTCTTCTCGCCGAAGCTCTTCCTCTCCTCCGCCTCCTGTGCCACGCGGGCGAGCGGGGGCGCTCCAGCCCTGGCATGGCTCCGTCGCGCGCGCGCCGCGCGCGGGGCCGCGGGCCGCGCGCTGGGCGCTCTGGCTCGCCTTAAGCCCGCGGCCCAAGCTCGACCAGTAATAAGTGGGAAAGAAAGCTCCAACTACAATTGACCCAGAAAGTGAACCTTGCGCTGGCCAGGCTCAGCCGACACCAAAAAGCGTTTGCCTTGCGCGGGCCAGGCCCAGCCTATAACCATGTACTTGTTGTTGGAGCCCACAGGGCACTTGGTGAGCACGTGCGGAGAAAAGGGGACCGCAGGTCCAGGAACCAACCGAAGACGGGGAAAACCAAACCCAATATGGACCTGACCCGACCTATCTCCCGCAAGTAGAACACGAAACATATGCCGAGCCCTGCTCAACTCTTTACCCAACTTCGCCACCGCGATCGGCAACCCACTGAAACATGTGAAGACAGGGTGCCACCCAAGCGCCACGTTGCGGCGTCGGACATGACACTGAGCTCGCCAGAGTGCCATCATGCCAAGCCTCGACCCGCTGTTTAAAGGAAAAGGAGGAGGATGAGGAAAAGGAAGAGGAGGAGGAGGAGGAAAAGGAAGAGGAGACGGGGGGGGGGCAGGAGGATGATACGCAGGAGGAGGAGGAGACGGAGGAGGAGGAATACTTGTAATACTACTATTAGGAATAATGGTAAACATATCACGAATATTCGGAGTAATTCTAAGAAGACGAATACGAGTAAGCATACTCATACTAATACGAATCAATGATTACGAATTATCATACTATTCACAATATCAGAAATAAGTGCACTTATCATAACCATGGCATTATTATTCGTAATCATGGGGCGAAGCATAATACTAATGGTACAGCGGTGAAGAGGAACACAGCTGACACTATGAATACTGCGAAGCATACGGTTCGCAGGAAACCAGTAATAATAGCAGCACTAGACATACTGATAGTACCAGCCATACGAAAGAGGATCATACGAACACTACTAATACTAATATTCATTCTCATGTTCAGTGGTACAACAACTACTTGTCATATTTCTACAAATCATATGGGTACTACGAAGACTACTCATACTATCATAGCAATCATAAGAACACTCCGAGTACTACAAATTCTAATGCGAACCCGACTGTTAATAACCCTACAGGTAATACTCGTACTAAAACTGTTTTTGTTTCGTAACGAAAATGGTACGACCAATACGCGCACTCATAATATTATTAAGCATTCTAATGCGACTAATGCGAGTGATAATACGAACAGGCAACCAGGACGAGTATTAATAAAACGAAGACAAGAAACGATTAGGAGTACAAGTAAACATAATACAACAAAACAAACAATACTACGAATCATAATAACCAGAGCAATAATAACATTACGATGATACTAATATGAGGAACACTAGGAATACGAATATTATCCCTAACACTAGCAATCATATTTTCAAGCAAATGGCGTAGTAATGCGAACGCTAAAAGTACGACTCATAATAACAATACCCAAACGCATAGAAATGTTCTTGGTAATACGTAGAGCACTAATGCGAATCTGTATGTTCTGAGTAACAATGATGATAAGAAGAAGAGTAACGCTAATGGTAACGAGAGGAAGAGGAGGAACAGGAGGAGGAGGAGGAGGAGGAGCAGGAGGCGGAGGAGGAGGAGGGGGGGGAGGAGGGGAAGAGAAGGAGGAGGAGGAGGAGGGGGAGGAGGAGGGGGAGGAGGAGGAGGGGGGAAGGGCCCCTGCGTTAGCAGGTGGCGGCCTGCTCCGCCGCGCCCCCCCCCCCCCCCCCTCCGAGAGGGATCCGTGCGCTGCAGCTGGAGGGCGCCGAGGGCCAGGACGTGAATCCGTCCAGGCCCCCAGGGCTAGGACGAGGATTGCCAAAGAATACAGGCCCCCAGTCGAAGAAGAAGGAACCAAACAAACGCATCATATCATTTTTTTGAAGACCTTCACTGGTTTTCCACTAGCGATACGCATTATATTATGAAGAATAATATTCGGAATCTCATCGGGAAAAATTGATAGGAGTAATAATAAAACGAGTAGTTTTTTACAATGGCAGTCGCAATAGTAATATTACCCAGACGAAGAGCTGACAGTCTTGATCATGATATGATTAACTCGCACCAAAACAGTAATAATGATAACTGTCACAAGCATAATCTTTCGAAGGTCCGCGCCAGTATCTTTGGCAGCGTTTGAGTTCCCTTGCGGAGCCTCCGGAGCCGCCCCTGGCGCTCCGCGCGCCATGGTCTAGCGCAGATCGAAAATACCGCTTTGAACCAGATTTTCTTTTTCGACTTCAGGCTCCCCTCGTGTGCTCTGCTGGTGCCGCCGCCGCTTCTTTTTGCACAGGTTGGCACAAGCCGCGATGGTAGCAATATAGTATTTAATGTTTTGCTCATTGCATTTTTTCTGCTGAGAAGTTAAAAGGGCCCGCGCGCGCACCTGAACTCGTTCCCCATCGGCTGGTCTATCACATACAGTAGATTTGCTTACCGGATACTCCTAAGAGTTAGCCGTGGCTTCAGGTACATCCCTCCGATAAGATTCAAAACATTGAAACAAACCAAAACACTTATATCAAATGCGTATCAACCTGGCTAATATGATCCCCGAATGTATGATAAATCCGCCAAATGTGGTTGTCAGCCGAAATTATCATTGCGATAACTCGAAGCTGTGTTCCTGTCTCGAGGGTGGGTGTACAAAGTGCGAAAGGGCAATGTCACGGCTCCAGAAATAATCCAACGTATCATCTTCGAGATTGTGCCCCCTGATTGCGACAGACTCCGACTCGCCTCTCGTCATAATCATAATTTCAACAACAGCTTTTCGCAGTCATCGCGGAGCGCGCCGGCGGACGAAGGCCCTGGTCCCGACGAACGGACGCAGAGAAAACAGAGGCCGACACCGAGTGGTGCTGAACGGGCAACCTGGACGAGCAACCGTTGTTGGCCGGTGTCAACCAAGCTTGCGTGATCGCGTCCGACTCTTCGGAGGCACCCGTAACCGTTTCGTCGGAAAAAGGGGGTCGGTCAAATCAGCGCCCCGCTTGAACCGGGAAACGGCTGCTGAGTTTCATTTGGGGGCGTTTGCGCGGTCTGCGATCTCGGGCCGTTCCCAATATCGGCTCAGGAACCATCGCCCGCGTCGGCACCTTTCGACGACCTGTGTCGCCGAAACATTTAGGGAGGCTTGCAAGGCGAACTGGCCGAGATGATGGCAGGCCTGCCTTCATATGGCCAGCAGAAAGCCCAAGAAGCAGCTGGGTCGAACGCGCCCGCCGCGAAGCAAACCCGGGAGGAGTCTTTGCTGGGCGATCTTGGCCAGGTGGGTGGCCCCGCGCTCCGGGCGTTCTGGTGCCGCGTGACCCTTGAGATGCGCTCGCCAAAGGTGATGGCTGAGGACTCCTTCAAGAACGGCAATATGGAAAGCGCACCAGACAGTGCCGATGGAGGCCGTGCTTCGGACGGTGCGACATTGCGAGGGCAGGATGCACTCATCTACTTCTATTGCGAGCCCCAAACGGCGGCTAACTTGGGCCGGGCCAGGTCCGAAACGGGTCATGTCGCAAATGCGCCCTCATTGGCGACGCTATCTGGTGACTTTGTCACCAGTGGACGATGGCGAGACCATAGAGACCGCGCGACAGCGTCGCGCGGCTCGGTGGCGGCGCCCCTGGGGACGACGAGGTCGCCGAAGCGGTGTCTGAGGGGCCAGGCGCCGTGGGGATAGTCGACGACGACGGCGCCGGAGACCCGGAAGAAGATGCCGAGCTCGCTGGGGCGTCCAAGGCCGCGCTTCTCAGGCGAGAGGCCGTCTCCAGGTAGCATGCCCTGACGCAGTTGCCGAGTGGCCCCCGCTGCCCGGCGTGCCGTCGGGCAGAGGCGCCGAGGGCGCAGCAGAGGCATAGTTATAACAGGGCCTCTATCTATGCCTTTCAGACCGTATTCCAAACCGACGAAGTTCGGGGGCCTGTGCATAATGGATCGATGGTTCGCGGCTGCTGAGCTCTCGGGGGGGCTCCGCAGAGAGACCTCGCGCGTGGCGCTTCGTGACCAGTGCGTGGGCGTGTTGGCGAACTAGTGCGCCCGCGACAAGTCGGCCGAGCATGTCGTCGATTTCTTGGTCGACCTTCGGGTGCCCAACGAGCACTGTTCGTGCGTCTATTTAGTCGCGGCTCCAGTGCTTCAGCGGGCGTGCAAGTGACTGAGCGTGCGCTCTATGAGCGAGTGCGTGAGCGCTCGTGACTCCGCGCGGCCTGCGAACGAGGGGCAGAACTCAGTTGCGGAAAGGGTGGGCGGGATCGCCCAGGACGGGGCGAGAGCACTCCTCGTGGCGGCCGGACTGACGGCTCCCAATTTGGTGCATGCGGTGCCATACTTTTGTTAGTGCTACAACCCGCAGCAGAGAGGCTCAGACGAGTCTCCGTGGATGACCAGATTTGATGTGTCATTCGCTTCCCCTCTCGCGCCATGCGGCTCAGCAGTCCGATCCTTGCCGCCGCGAGCAACCCGTGACAGAGTCGCGAGCAACATTCGGAATGTACTTGGGCTATGGGCGCGTTGGGCCCGATCGCTGCTGCGTGCCTCTCGACGGCTGGGGGGATGCAACTTCTAGACTGGCGTGGGGAAAGACGGCCAGAGGGCGGCCGTTGAAACGTCAGAACAGATCTGGGCGGGCGCCGGCGTCGACGCAGGAGTGCCCGCGAGCCGCCGTTGGATTTATTGCCGTGTGCCTCGGGGAGCTGAGGTCCTCTTCCCGCTGCTGAGGGTGCGCGACCTGACATCTGTAACTGTATCGTCTCCTGGGTGATCTGCTGTCCGGTGACTTGCGTCGCCGGCGGCAGGCCGCCCGAACCCCCGACGGCGGTCAGTCGTCTGGGGGGCGATCCGCATCGTCGAGCGGAATTGCCGGAGGCGCGGCTCTGTGCGCAGGGGCGCCGCTGCCTGCTCGCGGCGGCGGAGCGGGAGAGGCGGCCGTGGAAGAGGCGGGCGAGGGCCCGACGGATGACGAGGGAACCTCAGGACCACTTCCCGTTCCAGTGTTGCCTGTGGGAGCTAGACGGAAGGCCTGGAACCGCCTGCGCGCCGAGAGAGCGAGAGATGACCAGTGCGCGACATGCGCGCTTCCTGACCGTCCCCGAGCGGGGGGGGCCGAAATTTGAACAAATAATGGCACGAACCAGTCAGTACCTGGCCACGGGTGAGCGCCACGAGAGGGGGGCTGTGACCGCGGAGCTGGCGCTGGAAGAGCTGTCGCTGCTCTTGCCCCTGACTGGTAGGAACAGGGGAACCCATTTCAGGGTCGCGTTCTTCTGTGACCCCGGTTGCGCGGCCCCCGGCGCCGTCGAGGCCCGCGACCCCGGGCGTTGCGCAGCTCGGCTTTCGCGGGCCCGGAAGGATTCGACCAATCCGGGCGTGCGCCCAGCGCGATGATGGAAGATGGGGGGCCTTGCCAGAGAGAAGGCGATCGCTGAGTTCAGGGCAGTGGGAATTCGGTTCCACGGCCGTGCCGACCTTTGGGCCGAGTGCCGACTTGCTGCAGGAACCCGGGATCGCCGCGCCGCGACCACCGATGCGGTGCATCACGTCTGCGGCAGGGGAACACTTTCGACTCCTCGCGTCGCTCTGCAACTGTGTTAACGACGGCGCGGAGACGAAATACAGTCGACTCTGGGACGAGGGCGCCGAGGCGAGCGCTGGCAACGACGACCGCGACGAGGTTTCAGATGCTGAGACGGACTCCAGTTATCCGACCGACGATGAGACAGTTAGGGGTCGCGCTGGCTTGGCCTGCGCGGCACTTGTTGGAAGACTCTGCGTTCCTCGCATGCATTTGAGGCCGCGGAATGCGAGCCGTCTCGGGCGTCGGGAATGGGGGCCAGGTCTGTGTCCTTGCTATGGCCCCATCACGGGCCGGGCAGATCGACGCGACCCGTCTGTTCCCTCTCTCCACCTCCGAGGTGGGTCGCAGACGTGTCCACCGTGGCGTGCGTCGCGAGGCCTGTCGATATTGCCGAGAGAATGCAGGCGCGACCGCGGCGCCTAAGAAAGAGTGGGGCCGACCGCGCGACATCGACGCGCGTGGCGACAGGAAGGTCGTGGAATTGAATGAGGTGCGCAAAATCAGGAGGAGCCGACTCATTCCATATGCGTCGGGTCTTCGCCATTCTCGCCGAGGAGAATGCCGAGCCCCCCGAGGGTCGCAAGGGCTGGGTGTTTAATCGGCGTGTTGTCTTCGACGAATCAGGCGTCGTTGATCAAGACCAGGACGTAGCGCTGTTTCAGGGGCTTTCCTCGCGCCCTGTCACCGCGCAGGCGACAGAGACCGCGGGCGCCTGCGCATTGTTCCCTGGTCGCGACATCCAACGGGCTGATGCGCGGCCGGCGTGCCCTCAGTCTGCGTTGGGGGCGGCGCCCGTTCGGGCGCGGCTACCGAAGGTGGCTTGGCCAGAGAGCGGGGCTGGCATGTGCGACCCAGTCAGGAGGCTTCGTCTGGCGCTCTATGGCCGCCGCGACGCCGGGGGGCGCTGCGAGCAACGCTGCGAGCCACATGTCTTTTCGGAGGGCTTCTTGTCCATTCCCTCGTGGCGCAGTTGCCACTTCCATCCCGCGTTGGAGCTCTTTCGGATAGTGCGTATTGATGATTTTCAGATTGGCTGGCCCAGCTTGCAACTTGCAGAAAGGGTGGGGGTTTATCCTGATCTCATCGGAGATCGCACCCGACGGAATCGAGATGGGCCCGCCGACCCAGTGGCGCGATACTTGAGCCGCGAGGGTTGGATCTCCGAACGATGGGTCGACAGGCGCGGCGAGGGCCCGACTGCGTTGGGGCCTCCGCCGCCGA